AGAGAGAGAGCACGCGGAGGGGAGGACGGGAGCACGGAGAGAAGGAGTCGGTCGGAGCCTCATGTCAGATATACGGAAAAAATATACGGAAAAAATCGTGTGTTTATGGGTGCTAAAACATCCTGTGGTGTTTAGCATTCCTGGAAAAAAAAACCCATTAAAAATTAGCGGCCCTCGAACCTTCCGTCACCGTCCTCCGCTGCCCACCGAAAAAAACACCCACCCTAGCCTCCACAGCTTGCCCTGCTCCGCGCAACACCGTCGCCACCGCCGCTGTCGCCGGCACCTCTCCCCACCCCTGCCGTCCTCCTGCTCCAATTCCGCTTCCCGCTCCCCGTCACCTCATCCACGTATGCCGGCCAGACCACCCCAGTCAGCTGTGCATCTCTTTATTTCCATGCATGGATCTTGCATGCTCAGAAGAGATGACCGTACCAAGGATGTGCTTTGAAAGGCATACTCTGTATAAAGTTGTAAGCGTCGTCAACCCACACAGCCTCCTTTGCTGCAGGAACCGGAGCCTATCCAGACATGACGATTGTTTTCAAAATGCGGCATTTGTTCCGTCGAGCAGAATACAAATCCAATGCAAACAAGTAGAAGTACCATGTCTCAACATCACATTTCCAGAAATCTCAAATTTGTTGTTGTTGTTGTGCACTCCTACTAGTGCATGCATTGCAGCGGCAGTTCCCAGAAGCTTGCACTCTGCATATATCTGTCTTGTCCGTGGTGTCTGGTGTGTAACGACTGCTCCCAGTTCTACTTCTATCTCTGTCGCGTGTTCCATCTTGCGGTTGTTGCTCGATCACTGTGGCTGTCAGTAAGCGAACACTGAACACCCCGGCACTGTCTCTTCTCAGATCCTAGCTACTGTAACCCACAAAAGCGGATCCATGGAGGTTCCATCGAACACACGCCCACCGACAACACACACGAACGTTGGTTGGCATCACATCACGATCACGATCACGATCACATGACGGCGCAGGCGTTGGGGTTCTCGTCGCTGAGCATGAACTCGGCGTTGTTCAGCGACTGCTGGACGTAGAAGGCAGCCTTCCACGCCTCCAGCTCCGCGCCTTGGTCGCCGCGTCCTTCCCGTCCTTGCCGCCGCCCTCCTTCCCGTCCTTCTCCTTGCCGTCCTTCTCCTTGCCCGGCGCCACCACGTCCACGGGGCGCCGCAGCTTCTTGCGCAGCCTCTCCGGCAGGGCCTTGGCGTCCATGGTCCCCGTCACCGTCACCTGGTTCTTGCCCATGTCCATGCGCACCTGCTCCACCCCTGCACCGTCCATGATCCATACATCGAGTGCAGACACGGTCAGTATCCCCTCCGCCATGGTTGGCAAATCATGCATGCATAGTGAACGGAACCAAATTCCATCAGTTTCAGATTTCAGAGCAAGCCCTTTTTCCCCCCTCCGGGAATGTGGCAGCTAGGCGCAAATTTCGTTTAGTGATCATCATGCGTGGGCGTGGCTCATGTGGCAGCAAGGCGCAAATTTCGTTTAGGCGCAAATTTGGCATGGCGACCGAATCATGCCAACGATCAAAGAGGAAAAGAACAGAATTCGTGCAGGGAGTGGAATAAGAAGGGAGTGTAGCACGTACCACGACGGGCTTTTTGTTGTCTTTGCCGCCGCCGCCCTTCCCCTTCCCTCCTCCACCATCGCCGCTGCCGCTCTGCTTGTCATCCTTCCCCTTCCCCTTCCCCTCCTCCTCCTGGCGATCAGTCTTATCCTTGCCTTCCTGCTCGCCGCCTTTGCCCGCCTGCTTCCCGTCCTCGTCGGTGGCGCCCTTCTTCTGGTTCCCGCCGCCGCCGGCGCCTCCTCCCTTGTTGTTACTGCTGCTGCCGCCGCCGCCGAGGTCGACCGTCTTCCGGGTCTTGCCGGCGACGCGGTCCCGCAGTTTCTTGGCGTCGAAGCAGCCCACGACCGTCATAGAGCCCTTGTCCACCTCCATCGCCACGCCCTCCACGCCTGTCAAGGAATCAATCAACGAGCGCAACCATCGGCGATCAGTTGGCGTACGTTCCGTTCCATTCCATTCCACCACCAGAGCCTCCGGCCTGGCGGACATCACAAGATGGCGTGGCGCCGGCGACAGAGAGACAGGAAAGGTTGCGTTGCTTGCCTGGGTAGCGGTGGACGGAGCCGCGGATGCGCTTGGCGCAGCCGTCGCAGTGCATGTCCATCTTGAGCACCGCGGTCACCATGGGCGGCGGCTTCTTCCCGTCCTTGTCCTTCCCCTTCGCCCCCTTCTCCTGCTGGTCCTTATTCTCCTTGTCGTTCCCCTTCTCGTGCTCCCTGTCCTTGTTGCCCTCAGCCGCCGGCGCGTCGCCGGAGTTGGGCGCTGCGGGCGCCTGCTCTCGCCCTCCTCCGCCGGCTTCTGCTGCTGTCCGCCGCCGCCGCCGCCGCTGCCGCCACTCCCTCCACCGCCGCCGCTGCGCTTCTTCTGCGATCAATCAACACCATTAGTCCATTACACCATACACAGGCCGGGCGCCATGGAGTCAAAAGAAAACAAAAACAGAGAGAATTAGTAGTAGGGATTAATAAAAGACAACCAATTGAGGGTGTCCGTGTACGGTAGGCGGCGCGGCTGACCTTGGCCATGGCGGCGCGCGGCTGGGTCGAAGTGCTCGCCTCCTCGCCCAAAGGGTCGCCTTGCTTTCCCTCGCTGCCTGCCTTGTGTTGCTGCGCGAGTGAAGGGAAGGGAAGGGAAGGGACGCCGCGACGCGAGCGACTGCGAGCGTGTGGGGTTTTAGGCGAGGGGGCGCTACGCTAAGAGAGAGCGAGCACGGGAGGCCGGGCAAAAGAAACCACCTGGCTCGCCTCGCGCACTCGCGCTCTGGACTGGAACTGGACGTCGTCTGCGCAGTGCGCGCAATGCGCATCCCCCAGCCTCGTCCTCGCGCGGTGCTGCGGGGCCCCACCGGCAGTGAGTCGGCCGTGGCTCGCACGTACAGACGTACTCTTGTACTGTAGCTTTGGTAGCTATTAGGCCCACCGGCTTTAGAATCCGTTTTCCTTTTTTTTCTCTGTCTGTGTGTTTTTTTTAGCATCACCGGAGCTTTATATTACTCATGAGCAGGGTTACAATCATCATGGGCGATATCTCGCAATCCCGGTGGAGTTACAAGCCACTCGTCCACTGGGTTTTCACGAGAAACCAGTCTAGCACACTCGTGAGCTAATCTATTACAATCTCTATAAATAAAACATAAATCAAAAGCTTCAAAGCCCCGGCTGAGTTCATCCATCTGGAACAAGAGAGGGTCAACCTCGGATCTCTGCGCTGCGCGTTTGTTCCACAGCTGCACCAAAACCTAGCAATCCGTCTCCATGAGGAGCCTTGTCACACCACGATCTAGAGCAAGCTGCATACCATTCCGACATGCCATCGCTTCTGTGGCTAGAGCATTCAGACAGTGGTCATACCACTTAGCCGATCCCCCACAAATTCTTCCTTCATGATCACGGAGTACCGCCCCGGTTGCTCATATACTATTCCCTTCAGAGAGAAGGATGCATCTACATTGCACTTAATCAAACCAGGAGCCGATTTTCGCCAGCGCCGACGTTCTTGCAGTGCAGCTCTCTGAGTTTCTGGGGGATGACTCATATTCCACAGATCAAAAGCCGTATCGATCACCCACTTCGCCGCTACCTGCACTGGAGTAGCTGCTTCACCATGTCGACGTTTGTTTCTTGCCATCCATAGCGACCACATGCCACACAAGATAACGGCTGCATCCCTCGGAGTGCACAAAGCCGGATCAATCAAGTCATGTGCCCAAGTAAGTGGATGCAGGTTTGGCAGCTTAACTGCAGTGTCAGCTTTCTCACTTCAGCCCAAAACAATTTAGCAACTGTGCAGTCCATCAAAACATGCTTAATCGATTCTGTCTGTGTGTGTATTATGCAAAAGCGCGCATGTTGGGTGAAAATTGTTGGCAGTTTGAATTCTCTGGTGCCTCCCGAATTGGCGATGGCTTCGTTTTTTTTTTTTTGGCACCACCTGCGACTGCGAGAATTAGAAATTGGGCTATCGTTATTGAAGGAGAAGCAATTTTCACTTGCAATCCACGAAGCTTTGTCGTGCATAGTTATCGTCTCTTGCTTCTAATCACTATTTTTCTTTTCACGCCCGAGAAGTCCGAACTTGGGTACCAAAGCAACGAAATTACAAAAGCAACGAGAGCAGAGTTCAAGGAATGGTGTGGGCTCGGGTGCAATGTTTCCCCTATTTTTTCATGCTGTTTTTTAATTGATTTCTACTGGCAATTGCTAAAGGAGCAGTAGAAATCCATTCACGCTAACGGTTGACTTGCCCAAACCATCAACTTTTACTGCCAGTAAAAATAGTTTATGTACTAGTGGTGGGTGACATCATCTTCCACGAGGAACTTCATCTGTACCACGTTCAGCCATTTTCAGCATCCATATGGGAGCTGCAGAATATAACCCCTATATCCCATACTACAGGCAACAGCAATGCAGATTGACATATAAATGTTACTCCAAACTAGCTTAACAACTGAGTACTCCATAGCACTGTTATCCTCTACAGCAACATTAGTACTTAACGACTTTCTACGGTTAAGCAGCCGCGGATTGCAACCTCACACTCACAGGTCAGCTATGTCCACTAAAGTTGCAGTAAGCAAGCTACAGATCATAATTCTGGCAGTAGTTCAGAAGATGTCTAGCATCTTCAAGGGTGCTTTCAGTCAGTGAGGCGTCTTCTTCGCCCAGGGAGGACTTCTCCGCAATCCACCTCTCCATGACACAGCAGATCGCCCTGAGCTGTTGATTATTTTAGGATAGGAAATGCAATGTGGTGCTGCTCCAATATGGTTCGCCATGTTTGATGTGTTAGATTTGAGAAAGTGAATAAATACTTCTATATCTCCGTGAAGCCATTATGATTTTTCTCAGGAAAAATAAAGCAAGTTATTTTGTTGGGAAGGAAGGATACAGATGCGGATACCCCATGCTTCAAGTAAGCGTCCTCAGCTGACAACTCCTCTTTTTTGTCAACTCTGTGGCTTTCAAGGTCATCTTTAATGTGTGTGAACCTGCCAAGCAATAGAGATACAAATTGCTCGAGAGATGAAGAGGTCATATCGATTTGTTGTACTTGTGCCAGCAAACATGCTAAGATACACCAGAGAGCGTTCGGGCTTGGTTATCATCAGCGATCAGTGGAAGAATGTCAAAGAGGCCCTCCAGGAAGGGTAAATCTGAATGCATAAACCAGAGTGTGGTAATAGTGTGAATATAAACATGGTTTTAAATTGTAAGATGCATTGTTCATAAGTTCATAAATGTGACCCACCATGAGAGAGCCTAGGCACAATATGCTTTCCATCTGACAAAATATTTGCTAATACGATAACCACAGAAGCGCAATAGCTTGTAACCTGAAGCAGAGTTAATATATAATCAGTAGGAGCCTGGGACCTCTGAAGCAGAGTTTGCAAATTTAACACCATTAACGTATTTTTGTCGCATATTAAATATATAGAACTTTTTAGGTATCTCTCAGAGTATAAAATATTCAAGAAGCAAGAAAATTACTGATAGTGGAAAAAATAGAACTTCATATTTATGAACAATACAGGTTCGCATCTGGGTGGGTCATGTAGTCATGTTGCGTTTCATCTCTAGTCTACCCCAACCTGCTTGAGACTAAAAGACTTTGCTGTTATTGTATACAAGTTAGCTTCTTACACTGAAACAATGAAATTACCAAAGAGGCAAGACGCAAGACCATCAAACCAGACTGTACAGGATGAACAAGACATGGTGAAATAAATGAAATGGGAGCTCACCTCAAATTTATCAGGTAACTTAACTATGCTTTCAAGCACTTGAATCAGCAGATCACTTTGTGACATCACTCCTGAACAGCTGTCTATGGCAGATAATTCTTCAATGAAATTAAGGATCAAATCAAGAGAATCTGACCTGAAATTTGTTCATAAAGTGTATAACGATAATACCGCATTGCTGTCCCAGGTTGTTAGCTCAAAATTAAACTAACAAAGCTAATAACAAGGACAAACGACTACAACTGTCACAGAATTATGCATCAAGATTAAAAGCAAAATTAGAATACAAGTGTACAATTCTCACATCAATCTATAAGAAAATAAGAAATGCCTTCAACCCAACAAGGGACCTTAGAGGCTTGTGGTGACCTAGTGCACTGTTGTTTGCTCTCCCTCTCTCGGCGTTTAACTAATAAAATTAAGGTGTGTGTGCGCCTTCTTTTGGGAGGGCACTTGTATTGGATCTTTCTATTTAATACAAAGATACGAAGCTCTCCTGTGTGTTCGAGAACAAAAAAGTCAGCAGTTAGGTTGTATTTACAACGCGGATAAGTAGGTTGTAAATGCTTTAAGTTTTGGATTTTGGTTGGAGCATAAAATCCTCATATATAGATCTTCATAACATCAGATAATCATACAGGTCGTTCTTATTAATTAATAAATCCCCCCTTTTTTGGTGAAAGGTTGAGGTTACCAAGAACAAAATTCAATATGTGCAAATATTATGTCATGAAATGAGGATATACTGAAGTTGGTCCATTGCACAGGAATTCTACTCACCATACCTGTCTAATTTACCCTCATTTGATGACTTTTCAGCCTCACTTGCTAACAGACTGATAGTGTGGTTAATCAAACCCACTTTTATCAATGGCTGAAGAAGAATGACGGTCACATCTTGATTATCAATGACAGTTGACAGAAAGTCTATGACCTGCAACCAACAATTTAGCCAAAAAAGAAGAGAAACCACAATTTTGACCTTTTAGTAAGCAAGCTCCAGAACATAAAAAATAGATGCCCTGAGATAGTTTCCGCTGAACCCCATAACAGTAAGGTAACAACAATTTTGTCCAATGGCTAAAAGTTATATAAAATCAAGTATGCATATACATACTATTGGCAGCTACCAGTAATAAAACCAAGAGTGATCATAAATAAAAGGTAACTATAATTTGTTTGGATGCTTTAATAAACACACTATAACAGTGACCAAGAAGACTGTATCATTGCAGTTGGCAGGTATGCAATAATCAATAGAAATCACTGTAATGGCCTCTTAAGTCTTAACACTGCATCATGATACGGTAGGCTCATAGAGAACTAAGACACAAACACACATACCTAATTGTCATCTAGAAAAAGGATAAACAAAGAGAAATACATAAAACATTAGAAGCGGCTGCTAATACTGCATCTCCTGCAAGTGGAATGGAGAAAACACAGGGGCTTGGAAAATTCTTTTTGTAGCTACTAGTTTCATCGTCCAAAATGTTAAAAGAAACCATATCATATATCAAGACTTAAGTAAAACTATTATAATATTTTAACTTTTTAGAATCATACAAACTGATTACGCAGGGGCATACTGCCTATATGAATTCAGTATTGTACCTTCTCAAGCAACGTAGAATTCAATGTGTTTCCAACTATCCACAGAATACGTGAAAGAATTTCATCAGGTAAAAGAGCTTCAGCCCAAGAAACAGACACACTGGTACGTAGAACAGCAGCCAAAAACCTGTCATACAAAAATATTACGTTTACTATGGCTACAGCAACTTTCAGTGAAAAACACTTGTTCTATCTCATAATCACTTGGCAGATTACATAAGTGCAACCATACAATATCAAGCGACAATTGAAAAGCACAAGCACACGAGGATAAAAAAGGCACAAAAGACTAATAACTTTTTGCAGAAATTATTGTAGAGAGAAAGAATATGGCCAACAACTGTTCCATTGCATCTCATTCAGTATATATACAAGTTACAACCGTGGTGGGTGCGCGGTGCGCACGTCTAAGACTCGTGGGTGACCGTGGTCACCACGCCGAGAAGCTAACCGCTAGTACAAAACTGAGTGTCTCTCAACAATTATGCATTCACTGTTTTTTTCCTATATATTTTTCTTTCCAGATTGACATGATCAGTTAGATATACGTTTGTCAAGTATAGAACATAAACCATAATTCGAACTTTCTTACACTAACAAAGTGAAAATAGCTACATGTTTACCAAAAGGGCTGTTGGCTCAAACAATTTTTTATCTGCAATTCAGCAAATGAGAGTTAATGTAACTGTATGTCTGCACAGAACAAATGCCATAAGCATGACTAGTTTTGAGTGGGGACATTTGCATACTGCTATGGTAGAACCAAACTGGACCTTTTGCCTACTTCATAAACATTGCACAAACTGATTGTAAAGGAAACATGAAACAACATGATTCTCAGTACTCATCAGTCTGATAGTAATGGCTGTATTGAGATGCTAGATCTCTTTCACATGATTTGTTCCAAGATCACAGACCTTAGAGAGCTAAAATAATGCTGGTAAAGCAAACAATTTAGTGATGTACAGTGAGACAATAAAGGAAAAGGGAAACGGTTAACAGTGTACAAGTTTTATTTTAGCAAATCAGATACCAAGAAGGCAATGCATGGTAACCATAATTAGATTAAATCTACACCATAGTATTGAAAACACAACCTGAATATTTCAGAAAGGCAAGCAGAGTCGTCTAGAAATAGCTGATCCAGAACCGTAGCAGTCAAACCATTGTGCAGGCTGATAGCATTAACTAGAGATTCATGACAGGCTAGGTTTCCCAGGATTCCAAGACAGATTTCCTGTAGGGATAAGACATCCAATATATAACTGAGATAATGGTTATAAAAAATGTGGGGCAGTGGGGCAAGAATTAAAAAAGGTAAGTTTTACTTCACCTTTACTCTAGGGGATTGAGTCACATGAAGGTTTGCCAAAAGCACTTCAAGTACAAGATTGTTCATCTACAAGAATTAAAGATCTGCATTGTCAACAAGCACTGGATCCACTTACACTACAAGCCTGCAACATGTGTCCACCAACACACATAGAATACTTATATTGAAATCTCAGTGCAAGGTCTTTGGTTTTTTTTTTCCACTCCTTTTCTTTTGTAAAGAAAGCATAGATGAGATAACAAGCTAGGCATAGCATAACAATCTATTGTAAACATAAGTAATAAGATACTGATAACGCACCATCAGTTCTGCTTGAGGTTTACTAGCTGCAAGGTCCCACAGAATGCAACCACACTCTTCCCATGGATCCTTATAATCAGGCTGTGTTGATTCCCCATTACTAGAATTTGCATCCTTCTCTTCTGGGACACCTTGCTTCACACTGTTTGGTATCATAGAGTCATCTTGTTTGCTAACATACAAATTTCACCTCTAAACGCATCGCTTACCTGAACTCTTTCTCCGCATTGGAACCCTGGGGTAGTAGCTGCCGTATAAGGGAGATAGTGTAGCTGGGGTCAACTGTTGTCGTGTCATCAAGCAGCTGCAGGAAATTACAAGCAGGAGATCGAGCATCAGCAGAGCACCGGAAACGCCAGCCACACACTTCTTTCCAAGACTTTAGCTAAAAGAAAGTCGTCCATAACCGGTGGCCACACGAAGGTCACCAACTGCTCGACGGAATGCCAGTGAGGCGCAGACCCCAAGGGCCAAGGGCCAAGGCGACATCGACGCCACCATAGCAGTGGGACTGGGATGTGAGCAGTAGACAAAGGGAAGAGAGCCACGCACCTCGGAAGATGGCGCGAACGGGAGGTGACTGGGAGCCTCCTCCTCCTCGTCGGCCTCCTCGACGCCGCCATCCTCTTCTCTCTGCCTCGCGTCTCCCCGTTCCTGCGGTGACTGGGGCGCTTCGTCTTGCGCCGCTTGGCCCCCTCCGAGGACATCCTCTCGCGGAGCGCCAGGCGCCATTGCGGCGTGGCCGGCGGAGATTAGCGAGTAGCGACCTTGAGTATTGACCGGCGGAGCTTTAACTACAGGACGCTTTCGAGTTTCGAGGGCGCCGCAGAGGGGGTTCCTCTTGATGGGTTTGGTGCGGATGCGCCTCAGAGCGAGCTCCTCTTGATGGGCTTTTTACGTGATCCAAAGAAAGAAAATGGCCAGTTCACGGCCCGAGCAGTCCAGCGGTCCAGCCCACACACGCCCTTAGTGCCAGCGCTTTTGAACACACGAACATCCGTTGTCACCCCAAACCCTGCGGCGGCGACCGGCTGTCCGGTGATCGGTGGCCATGGACTATACCCTCGCGGCGCTGAAGATCTTCGGCTCCCAGCTCGCCGACTGCACCGAGGCGCCGTCCTCTGAGGGTTCCTCTGCCGCGCAGATGCTCAACGGCATCCGCTTCCAGCGCGCCTGGATCCAGGTCCCCAAATTAACCTCCTCTCTCTCCTTCCTCTCCCACCTGCATTTTGTTTGTCGTAGCCTAAGGACTCGCTGCGGCAGGGTGTGATCCTGTCAGCGGACTACAACGAAGCTGGCGATGGGCGCTTGTTGCTGGATGACGGGTCCTGCATCGCCGACCTCTTCGTCTTGCCCAAAGAAGCAGAGGGCCGGTACTGGCGGCCAGGTTCCGGTTCTTAATCTTGCTAGTTTTTTATCTTGCCTTATGTTGTGAGAAACCATAAATTCCATGCATAGCTCTCACATAATCGAAATATTATTCAATTATATTATTCTTAGTAATCTTGAAGAATGAAGAGTGACTATTTGCATAGATGTTAATATGCTATCCCCTCGGTCCTAAATTACATGTCACTCAATCTTTGTCCTACATCAATCTTCTCAAACTGACCAAGTTACAAAAATGTATTAACATCAACAGGTTCAAATAAATGCACTATTAAGGCATACTTCATGGAGAATTTAATAAAACTAATTTGATGTTGTAGATGTTGGTGTATTTTCTTATAAAATTTGTCGAAGTTAGATAAGTTTAAACTAGGATAAAGCTAAAGTGGCTATATTTTGGTATAGAGGGAGTATTCTGTTTGCGTTCTATAAATGGTAGATTGTTTTCTGGGTTACCTTTTTTTTTACACTGGCTGATGACCGCTCTTGTGCTGTAGGGATGTATGTAATGGTTATTGGTGCATACATTGCAGCAGAGTCCAAGGACAATTATCCAGCTATCAAGGTGCCATATTCCTCATTAGTCACTCCTCAAGTCTGCCCCTGTCTTCTTGTATTCCTTTTTCCAACCATTTACCGAGTATTGGAGGTCCTCAGTACTAAGAATTGGAGGTTCTCTCTCTGTGATCTTTGTTCTTTAATATTATTGCAAACTTCATTTTGAATGATCCAAAAAAAAAATCAATTCAGTGAACTCATGTTTCGTCAACCCTAGCTGATGCTTCGTTGACTTAGAGGAAGTAGAAAAGAAAAGCGTATGTAATTTTCACTTCTTAGGCTGAGCTCATTGCAAATTATGCTAATACATTCCAGTGATGAGGAACAAATTTTACTAGTTTTACTGATAGGAGCTGCTTAGCATCGAACTTAGTTACATCCAGGAAAACAGGGTGCTATGATAAATTGATAAGTCTTTACTCTTCACATAACATGCCACTCCTTGATTTCTTAAGACGTTTGATTGAGCCGGTCTGCATATAAATTATAAGACTTTCCTGTCATCATTTCTAGAAAATAAAGGGACATTTATAATAGTTATTCACATTACATAATTTTATTTGTGTGCTCTATACACAACAAAGAGGCTGTTTTTCTGACATGTAATGTTCCCCATGCTTCTTTAAATCCACCAATCGAGTGCTCTGATGGTTCTTGTGAGGGAAATTTCTTTATGATCCATGTTGGCGAATCAGAGATATCAATCTTTTTGAGTAAAGTAGCTATCTAATTCCTTAGCCAGTCAAAGTGATCTATGAACTTGATTATTATGGCAGGTGCATAAGATGGTGGACCTCTCTTCTCAGCCAGACCGTGAAGCAATGTGGTACATGGAAGTAGCTGAGGCTTACAACTTATTTTACTTGCCATTCTCAGCCGCTGTTACTCCCCCTCCCCCGTCATGAGCCATGGCCGGCTGTCCCTTTTCTCCAGTTGCTTCGACACCTTGCTTATTAGCAGTAATTGCTCTAAGCAACTCTCCTAAATATTTAGTGATCCTGGCTTGTATCACCATCGTTGTACTGATCCAGATATAAATCACCATGCTAAACAGTTCATCATGAGCATCATCTAGCTATCATCATGCTTATAATAAATAAACTTGAATTGTAGGGCTAAGCCCTGTTTTGAGCCTTGCACGCCCACCCCCCGGATAGACGGCCTATGTTTGACCACCACGTCAGCATCACTCACTTGAGTCAACCACGGTCACACTCGCCACGTAGACTCGGTCAGACCCACCAGCCGTCGTCCACCTCCGTCGGCGTGGTCGTCCCTGTCGACGAAGCCAAAGAGACGAGCGCCCCGTTCGTTGGGTTTGCGTGGCTGATAAGCCATGGCTGAAAGTATTGTTGGCTGATTTGATGTGAGAGAAAAATATTGTTTGTTGGTTGAAAAAAGTACGGTTTATAAGCCAAATAAGCCCAAACGAACAGGGCGGAGATGGGAGACAGGAGAGTTTGGATTTTGCATTTCCACTGAGCTCGGTCTTTCCACGTTGGCGAAGAGGCATATTCGCTTGAACTTATCAATTGGCTTATTAGCTAGAATCTATAATATTTTTTCTCACAACAAAACAGCTTCAATCGATTTTAATACTAGCCGAAGAGATACCATACGCCGTCCAGATTGTACACCTTTTCCATTGACGCAACGATATCTTTCAAAAAAAATAAGAGAGAAAAAATGCTAAAATTATGCAAACAAAAGACAAACTGAAGTTGACGCCGGCGTCTCGTCGCCCCCAAGTCCGCAACTATTCTCCACCGCGCACTTGTCGCTCTCGCTCGCGAACTGGTACCCACCTGCCAACGCCTGCCCACGTGCCAGCATGCCCAGCCGTGGGATGGAGGATCGGACGGCCCGTGTCTCTCCGAGGAGGAGAACGCACAGCCACCAATTCAACCACAGGTCCGGATAGCGTCTCGTCCTCCCGCTCCCGCCTCGCTCCCTCCGTCGCCTTCTCCAACGGGAAAATAGCCATTACCGAAGGCCATCAGCAGCCTCGGAGGAGAAATTTCACCGCGCGCGGTCCCGCGATTGATGCCCTCGCCATGGCGTCCGTGCCTCTGTCCTCGCCGTCGCAGTCCGGCCTCCTCGTCCTCCCGTTCCCGCTCCTGCAGCCGGCTGTCGGCGCATGCCTCCGCTACCGCCTGCCGAGGCTGCCTCCGGGGCTCTCGAGCGTGAGGAAGGGAGGGCTCCTGCCGCTGCCGCTCCTGGTGCCTCCCCGGGCCGTGGAGGGCAATGACGGGCGGGCCGTGACCAAGGAGGAGGTGGAGGATGAGGAAGAGGAGGTCGAGGTGACCAAGGAGGGCGAGGAGGATACTCAGGAGCGAGGAGGTACTGGTGCCACGAAGGAGGAGGCGGCAAGGGGTTCGGAGCGGTTCGCGGCGGACTACATCCCGCTCGGCATCAGGGAGCCCGTCTACGAGGTAAGCGGCTAGCAAGCTAGCCAGAAATCCGCAAATGGCTTCTCACTGATTGTTCACATGCTGTTTCATATTCCATTGTTGCCAGCCATTGAACACTTTCTAATCTGAGCATTACGTATCTGAATCTAAATAAGCATACGTGTATCTGGCCGTTAGATATTTTGTAATTTACAACCTTGCAAAATACATATGGTCATTAACCTTCGTCACAAAATTAACTTTATCCAGGCGATAGAAGTGAGATCTAATGGGAGGATGTCCACCAAGAAAATAAGCAGGCGGCAGCTACTGAAATCTAGTGGTATGCACAAGGAACATGTTTCTCATCAATGCACACATGCCACATACATCAACTTTGTTTTGTCCTACTTTTAACTGTAAAATGCCCAATTCGTGTAATTGACTATATATCTTATGATTCCATTTACATGCAAAGACTTCTTCTGATTTCCATCTTTTGTCATGCTAGGTCTCCGCCTACGAGATACTAGAAGCGTTGACCCGTCACTATGGTTAATGAATTCAATGCCTTCCCTGCTGGTAATAGAACGCTTTTATATATAGCTGTGTTGAGTTTCCTTTGTTTATGCTATACTGCATTTTCCAGTTGTATACTGATAATCAATATTACCATGATGTACACACTAGATGACTAGAGTCTGAAAGGGTGATCATACCATTTCTGTCATGCTTTCACTTTTATAGTAGATCATGGAGGGCACAAATGCTTGCATTTTATGAGTTAAATATTAAGGACAATTACTGCTGATTTACATCTAGAATATTCCTGCCTTTTCTTAACCCTTTTTTAACCCATGTATTGATGCCTTCTAGTTGGGATGCCATTCTTTCCTGATTTTGTACTTTGGTGTGCTTTGTGCTTTACATTGTCTACTTGCACCTTCATTCATATGGCTCGTAAAGACCATCCTTTCTATAACATGTGAAAACCATGTTTCATCATTTAATGTCTGTAGGTACGTGAGCAAGCTATTTTACTCAATCTTGGTTCCTTGCGAGCAATTGCTATGTATGAGCGTGTTCTTATATTCAACTATAACAGGTCAGTGTTCATCTTATAATTATAGTTATTTCCTTTTCATGATCTTACTAATTGTTTTATGAACTGATCAATTATGTTTTTAACTTATTTAGCCCAGGAGGGAAGGCCTTTCTAGGGTTATTACTGCCAAGGTTAAATCCAAGAAACATCAATGGTGGGCCCGCAATGCCTTTTCAGCTTGAGGTAACGGATATATCCAATAATCCATATTCGTGGTCTGGGAGGAGCTGTGAACCTGTGATATACTGATATCCTGCCAAGTAAAATGTATTTTCTTCTCTGTTTTCCATCAAAAGTTTTCTGCGAATTTAAGTTGCATAGAATTCCGGGATTATTAACAACAGCACATATTTCTGTTTACATCTGCACTGTACTTTCAACAGATACGCTAAGTAAACATCAATAAGTGCTTCTTATGAAAATTAAATTTGCATCAACACCCAAATTAATTATTGAAGCAAGACTTTCCTGTTATCCCTAATCTGATTTTTGAATATTGAGCAATTGTACAGGCATCATCCATTATACACTAAATGTATAATATTCTGGTTGATCTTATTTAATCATACGCTTATTTTTGTTTAAAATATTTGTAGCACAATGTGGTATTTTATTGTATGTCCTCTGCATTTAAGAAAATGTTATGTGCATGCATTTTCATGTAAATTTAAAGTGTCGGTTGGAAATATGAACTGCTCTTTCATCATGATTTCCATGTGTTCAGGTTGTTGAAGCTGCACTTATTTCTAGAATACAAAGATTGGAGCAGAGACTAATGAAAATTGAGCCTCATGTGAGTACCAAAGAAGTCTCTGTGTCCTTAAACTTTTTATATTACATATAACTCTTGCTCTTCTTGTAGAAAACTGTACACGATGATGTGTTTTTTTACTGCATACTCCATTTAAGCATTGTCATTTACATGCTTCTCAATCATTGGCTTCAAACCTTTAAGCTGTTACTCCCATCCCCTATTTCATTGGGATTTCAATTTAGGCAACTTTCATTATAGTGCACACAGTGGAATTCAAACAGCAATGCTTCCAGTTATTTCCATCTCTTATATGCCTTCCAGGAGCCCAACTGCAAATTCACAGTCCATCCCTTTCCTATAACACATTTCCCATCTTAACTAATCCGAGCTCCTGATCTTTAGATACGTCAACCAGTACAAAGAATAAGAGATTATATACTCCTAGTTTTGGCTACTAAGTGACTAACTCTACAACAGACCTCATACAGGACATGCTGTGCCAAATGTCATTGCAGCACTTTCAGAAAGTTAATCCATTAATTTGTCGTCAGCTTTTGACTCTGCTCCTTTGAGATACAGTAGGAATAGCCCTACCAAGTTGATTCTACATTTTCAATGTGCCGATCTAGGTATGGTGGGACTTAGTAGTTCACTACTGCAGTTAGTAGTTTTTTGCTTTCATTTCATTGTGAAATGAAGTTTATGAGCTGCTTGGTGGTTTAAACGCCACCATAGGTCTTTGCATTTGTGTTGAATCAAATATTACTCGGTCACTTAAAACTTTGATGACAAATATTGCTTTCCACTTGCATCTCAGGTGGCTACATTGCTAGAAGTTCTACCAAATCGATTGACAGCTGATGTGCTGGAGCAGCTTCGTCTAAGTAAACAAGCATTGGTATAAAAACTACATTCTG